TTTTTATTTGTAATCTAGCTTTGACAGAGAGCATATTACAAGTTAATATGATATGATAGAATGTACCATTCATTGAAGCTGGCAAAATCATTGTTGAAAGACTCTTCTATTTCGTTGGGCTAGTAAACACCTCTTCAGCACAGCTCTAAATCTTTTTCCATATTTAATATTCTTGAATTCCTGAGGGAGGTGGTTGAAGAGTCGCCTCTCAATACAATATGGATTCCAGTAACTTTTCCAAATTCATTAAGTTGTCTCTTTCTGTGGAAGTCTTTTTTCTCTCAGAAATAATTACTGTGGTGAATAAAGTATTCTGGTAAAGCTGAAATGCAAAAGATAGCGGGGAATATGAAAGCGGAAAAGCGCTATGCTTCAACATAGGGACTCCCGTTTTCGTGTTCCCTGTATTCTTCTGCATTGCAGCTTTACAGGGCTGCTTTATTGAATTATGATTGTTGAGTAATAAATGAAAGTAAACATTGCGCTAAAAGTACTATTTAATATGATTGCAGGAAAACGGCCAGAAATGTTCTTCACGTGAGCAAAGAAGTCTACGGAGTCATTTTTCCTGAAAGTACAGGTGAGTTGACATAAAGGTTACAATAGCTGGTCCAATTTGTCTCTGTTCAGACTGTATGAGAAGCTCCCTTTGGTGTGCATCAAGGTTGGGTTTTTAATTGTTTTTGTGGCGCCTTGGTTCTTCCCTGATGATTTCAATCCTCCCCCCGTCAAAATGCAGGCTGGCATTGGTTTGAATTGGTTGAGCAGACTCCCCTTTCACTTGCTCCATGTAAATATCATGCAGCCGACTCACTACAGCAGAGTTCTTTTCCTGTAACTTTAGCTTGTTTGCCGTAGGAAGCCAACCCGCACACATATAGTTCGAAAGACCACCACTTAAAACTCAAGTTCCTGTGGACAGGGGTGGTTTCTGACCTAACTAAAGGTAGTTTTGTGGTCCCCTGGTTCACCCCTATCGATTCGACTACTTTTCCGTCGAAATCCGGACCCATCAATTTTCGCTAAAAACACAAAGGCTATAGCCTTTGTAAATTTGGCCAAAAATGAAAAAAATGAAAATCGCTGGAAATGGTTGGGATTGGTCCGACAGCATCCTCTTTCGACATCTCCGTCGAAATTTCACGCCGCCGGGCCATTTTAAGAGAGTTACGCCTGTTTTTCTCGGACCGGCTAGCGCGCCAGATTCAAAAGACCACCCCTTAAAACTCAAGTTTCTCTGAACAGGGGTTGTTTCTGGCGGAACTAAAAGTAGTTTTGTGGTCCCCTGGTTCACCCCTGTCGATTCGACTACTTTTCCGTCGAAATCCGGACCCATCAATTTTCGCTAAAAACACAAAGG